GCATTACAGTAATATGCATATCTGAAGATGGGTAATAATATTGTTCTAGTTCGATCGCTTGTAAATCAGCAAGAAATTTCAAAATTCGATGCCTCGCTGATTCATCAGGTCTAATCAAAAGTGTAATGCCAGATCTTTTATCTAATGATGAATCTATTTGATCATCCATTTCATATTGATCTGATTTAATTTTTTCAATACTATCATTATAAAGTTTATTGTAAATATTAATCAGTTCCGTTGACATCGATTTCCTGTTAATAATAAAAACATGATTGAAAAATCGGCTTTAAACTTTGTTTAAAGTAAATATCCCACAAATTAACAAATTCTGTAACGTCGTGGATTCGATTCCTATACTCAATTTTTTTTCACTTACTTTTTTCTTGATATTGTACTCTACATGTGAAAAGAAACGAAGAATAAGAACAGTAAAAATAATAACAAAGACAAGATATGTAAAGAACGCAAGAGAAAAAATATGAAAAAGCAAATTTTTTCTTATGTTCTATAAGGTTTGTTTCTCATTGTCTGGCTTTTAATAGCCTAGCATTTGTATTACAAGTACTCTTCTGCCTATGATATATATGAAAGAACAGAGAAAGAATTTTTTTTTCTTTATTGAAGTTATGTGGTAAGTTATTCGTCATTCCAAGTGCTTATAATATAAACAGTACAGAATTTTTTTCTTTTCTCTTCACATGTTTTTTCTATTACATAATTATTCGTTTCAGTTTCTTTCAAATTAGAAAAACAAGAAGGAAGTGATGAAAAAAAACTCGGAAGAAGGACGAATATATGATGCTGATTGATAATTCTCACTATTACACAATTTATTTGAATTCTGAATGATAACTATGTTTTGTTAGTCAATTAAATTTTATTTTCATTGAATAAAAAAGAAGAAAGTGTTCGTCTATTGATAAATGATTATATAAGAATTTCATGTCGCATAGGTGTTGTTCTTGTTCCGGGCCATATACGGACAACTGTTCCAGGTGAAAACATCCGTATATTTGTATTCATAAAGCCGTTTGCTGCAGCAGTTACATCGAAAAGAACAACTTTTTCTTGTTTCAAAGCTGTACGAAAATTGGCTCGAGCATATACTCGTTGATCAGGTTTGGTCAATTCTACATGATTAACATGAAGTCCAGGGTAATGTGTAGTTAACCATGCAGTAATTTTTTTCAAAGCAATCTCAGGATCTCGCTCGTTTATTGTAACTGCTCTTGGACGTCTCGCTTCATCCACGAGGATTTGTTGATAATTCCAATTATAAAATGTACTAGAATAATAAAAACAAATTTATTTGATTGAATAAATCTTCAAAAAAAACATACTTGAATGTCATTGATGAAAATGATGAAATAAAATAAGAAGGAAACTAATATATTTCGTTATTCTTTATATATTTGAAAAAGAGGTAACTTATAAAATTTCCAATTGATGATGAAATCAAACGCAGGACTACTCACTTGACTGATTTTTATATATCACTAATAAAATGAAAAAAAGAGGAAGAAAGTAATGACTTTAGGTGAAAACAACATGATAAAAATGACTCAGATGACAGAAATGACAAAAAAATTGTTTGTAATTAATTTTTCTATAATAAACTAAATATAATATAAGAATATTTCTGAACAATGATTTACTTGTTGCTCGAGAAATCTCATAGTACCGAATGCATTATACATATATATCAACTATTCTTTTTTTTTGTATAAATAAATATCAGTTTTTGATAGTCTCTTCCGAAATAATTTTTTTGCAGATAATGTGAAAAGATGAGTTTAATTTTGTTTTCTCATTTGTCGATTATCTTCGAATAGTGGAAATTCTTTAACTATAAGTCACAAGTAAAACACATTGTAATAATTTTCTATATTAGAAAATGTTGTGCGTATATAATTATGTTTTTTATGTAATAGTTATGATTCACTTTTGTTCTAAAAACAAACCATTTTTGATCCATTAATGCTCGTTTTATACATACTTTTAACAAATATCTCGTTAAAAAGAATAATAATATTATATTTATTTACTGAAAGACATATAAAAAGCTTCAATTAGCTGTATCAAATGTAATGCTTAATACATTTGAAAGTTTATTGGTAAAAATAATAAATGCGTAATAACAAGGATAATGAGTCAGCACACGAAAAATATTAACATATGAAGCATGTTTATCAAACGTATTACTTTTTTTTTTGATGTGTAGAAAGAGAAAAGATATAACAATATCATGCGTCTAACGATGAGTATTTGATGTGAAACATATAAGATGCATCCTATCAGAATAGTATATGTATAGAGAAAAAAGAATACACGCAATATCTGTTTTATTTTATTATTATTTTGTCTCTTCTATGATCGATAATTATACATATAAATATACGAAAAACTATTGCTACATATTCAGTATATGAAACGAATTTCCACAAGTAAGTACGATGAGAAATTTACACTAGACATCGCATTTTATTCACAATCGACAACAGAATGTAATAATATTCGTTACTACTTACTTTATATATGATCAATATTTTATCATATATTTTTATTTACTTAAAACAATAGTTATAGGAGATTTATATACTAAAGAAGTAAACAAATTACACCGAGATTTATCATTTATCGTTGTGTATTAAGTTAGATTATACATATATTCAAGATATACTCTGATGTATAAACGTAAATAAAAAAAAGAGGTAAGGGATTCTATATATCTATGCATTAATATAGAACTTAGTAAATTATTTTGTACAGTTAAACTTCAATCAGTTTAATTTCAGATTCCAACTGGAAAAATTCTGTTTTTCAATGGATATGGCGAATTCGAATAGTATTCTTTTACCTGATTTAATCAGTACTTGTCCATTCAAGCTTGAATGCAATCCAGCATATGAATCAGTATCAGATGCAACAGAAGCTTGGCTTAACTCTCATGGTATTCCGTACAAAGAATCGGCACACAAATATAATCTCTTGTCAGCATTGTGTATTTCACATTGTAGTCAAGCTAGATTGCGTGAAGCGAGTGATATATGGACATTACTTTTCTTGACTGACGACATTCTAGATAGTGCTCCTGTTTCAAACGATGTTGATCCGAAAAAAATATTCGAACAAAACTAATTCATGCGTTTAATTACTGGCTCAAAACACCTGAAGAAAAATTGATTATTATCGATGACATTATCAATAAACTTCACAATACAAGTTTACTACTTGATGATATTGAAAATGAATCTTTAATGAGAGGAGGTGTAGTAGCTGCTCATACGATTTATGGAATTCCTTTAACAATCAAACAGAACAGAACTTGTTTGTTTTCTTACTATGCAAGCAATATTTAAATTTGATCATCTTCATGTAGGATCGATTCTAGTTGGTAAGTCGTTTGAGTTTCATTCTAAATGACACAGTAAATTGTTTTTATAGATCACTTGGTTGAATTACACAAAGCCCAAGGTCTTGATATTTGGTGGCGAGATAATCATATGTGTTCGTTAGAAGACGAATATTGTCAAATGATTACTGGTAAATGTGATGGACTCTTTCATTTAACTATAGAACTTTTACGATGTTTTTTACCAATGCAATCTAATATCAAGAAAAATGAATTGATTGATGATTTATGTCAAGCTCTCGCATTGTTCTTTCAAATTCGAGATGATTATTGTAATTTAATTTCGGAAAAATATACACAAAACGAGTCGTACTGTGACGACATAACTGAAGACAAATTCTCATTTCCAATCATTCATGCTCTTAACACTCATCCACATGATACTCGACTCAGTGACGTTCTCAAACAAGAAGCTATTAAATTATCACATTAATTTGATTCAATCGAATATACACGAAATACATGTCTCACACTGGCCAATAAACGTAATGAACTTATAGATAAACGAGAGGACAATCTTTACTTGAAGATGATTATTAATCAACTAGCAGCTATTTTTTAAGTCCCTGCAGAAAATAAAATGAAATAACTCAAAGAAAATTGCTTAATAAAATTTTGCATACATTTTCTTTCCTTAGTTACACATTAGTTTTTTACTTTTTCGATTTTTTTTGAATTGAATAAAACAAGATAATAGCTTATACACTTGATATTATAACTCGATTAGAATATTGAATAATGTATCTTTTTAAAGAGAAACTCAAATTTTTATTATTAAGATACATCTGAAACTTCCATCTGATTTGATATACTGTCGAAGTTAAGATATGATTATTTTTGGTGTTGGTACTTTTTCTTATTTATTTTACTTTTTAGTATTATTATTCACATCATTTTTCTAAATATTTATTTTACTTGAATTATCTGTAGTTTAATCGTTAATATTCCAAAACGGTTCCTTAGATCTCTTTATATATTTGTTTTTTGATCTATTTCTAAAATAAAACACAAAATATAAATTCAAGGGTGTGAATGTGAACGTATCGTATTTATCTCATCCACCGGCTCACCCACATTCATTACTCACACCTAACTATTCGCCGGAGAAGTTTTTGTCAACAAAAGAAAAATTTTCTTAATTAACGCATAGAATCAACAAAGAGAAAAAAACTTATTTGGCTTATACGAACACAGAAAAAATTCCTTGTATAAACATAGTTCTTTTTTTAACTGTGGACAAAAAATGAAAAAAAATCATTTCATTCGTTTTTTACAACGATTAATGCTCTTCTTACCAGTTCTGCTAGTGATTGTTGCCACAGCAAAAGTAGCTTGTGAGCATGAATACGCATGCAACATACGAGCATCATGTGGTTGTTCTACCAGATTGACAATACTTGCAAAGATTGTTGGTGGAGAACCTGCCCAACCGCGTTCATGGTCTTGGATTGTATCTCTATTCGATCATCCAACTAACAAATACTTTTGTGCTGCATCGATCATATCCAATGTTTGGCTGTTAACAGCAGCACATTGTTTTATTCGACGAGATCACTCTGATATCATCGTCCATGCGGGATCCAATCAACTCAATGATAGTACTCAACATCGACATATCGCAAAAATTATTGTACATCCAGAATTCAACCAACACACTTTTGTCGCTGATATAGCTCTTATTCAACTTACATCACCATTAGACATGACCGATCTATCCATAGCTAAAATATGTTTGCCTGCTATGAGAGGTAAAGACATTGATAACTAGTATCTTATTTGTCTAGTAGAAGAATAAGTCACCTAGAGATTGTTCGTGCCAGTCGTTACGATCTGAGAATTTATTCAATTTCATTCTATAAAAATTCTTTTCTCATGAAAAATACTGTTATCGAAACTTTTAACTCTGTTTTTTAGTCCTAGATACGATACCAGACGAAAACGAACCGACAATCGATATGAATGAATATCCACCAGTGAACTCAGCAGTAAGTGCACGATTTCTAATTGTCTAATCCATTGCTTAACAATATTCATAATTGAGGTTGTCGCAGTCGGTTGGGGAAAACTGGCTGATAATGATCATTTACCGTCCCGAGAACTTCAACAAGTCACATTGAAAGCAATTCCATATGAAAGTAAAACATGCGAAGACATGATCTTTGATCGATCCGTACAATTCTGTGCTGGTGATGAGATGGGAGGAAAAGGTACAAGCATTCAATAAGAAAACTCTTACAGAGAATAACGAATCTTTTCGCTTTAGACACTTGTCAGGGTGATTCAGGTGGTCCGTTGATGAGATTTACATCAGAAAGACAATGGATTTTGGCCGGTATCACCTCCTACGGGAAACTATGTGGACGTCCTGAATATCCAGGTGTCTATACGCGCGTTACATTCTACATGAATTGGATCAATGCGATAACCAACGGATTAGTTCGCCGCATTGATTTCTCTATGGAAGCTTCGGAAGTTATTAGCAGAGACGATCAGGATCTCTTCGATGACTCTCTTTTTAATATGTGTCCATCTTTCAATCGTCTGCATTTACTTTACATGATTGTATCTTTAGGTTTACAGTTGTATTTTTCTCAATCTATATAACATTTCCATGTTTTCTATTGTCTTCATTTCCTCATTTATTAGATTTTTAAGGACATGCCTCTGATCATTCTATTACATTGTATCATTGTAAAATTTCGAGACATTAAACAAGGTTCATGTGGACTTCATTATTTCGTTGTTACTACTAGGGGAGAAGTCCTGAAGTGTGTGTGGGTGTGGGCGAAGAGAATATTTAGACCCTCACCCACACACGTTCATACTCAATAAAAAGTAGTAAATTTCATTCTATTTTTACTTTATCCTTGAAAAGTGAAAATGCGTTTTCTCTTATTTGCAAAAATTATTCAGTACCAACAAGATTTTTCATGGTCATTATTAAAGTGAAGAATCGAAAAAAGTTTTTATTGGATAGAATCAATAGAGTAGAGACACGGAGAAAGAACAGAATGAAAAACAACCCATGGCAACCATGTTTTCATTTTATTTTGTGCTGAAATAAAAGTAAAAGGCGATATGGCAATGTCTGTTAGCACACACATAAAGGTAGTGTGTGTGGATGTTAATTACAAATAAATGTAATACCTGCAGTCACACCCGCATACACCCACACCTTGATTTTTTAATTTTTTTCAATAAAAATCTTATTGAATAACAATCATTTTTATCCCTTCAATAATAAATTTATGATAAAATCAAATCTGTTTGTCATTTTGCTATGATGAAGATAAACTTATTGTGCATCATTCAACTGTCGATCATTTTCTAATCTTAACTTATTCTTCAGTTTTTTCAACTTTTTTCATACAAGTCTCAACAATAATATAACATTTCCTCTTTCTTTGGAATCGGTTGAGGAAAATAAATTATCTCATTTATATATTCAAAATTTATCAGAACTAATTCTATGAACAAATCATGTAATCATCGTTTATATTTTATTTATAAAACATCATCACTATATTATCTCTCCTTTTATTATTATTTCGATGATGACACACAACGATATCATCAAATCTTATTTTATCGCAAAACCCGTCAGTTCATCATTCAAATATTTTTTATCTTTTTATTTATTTTAAAAATAATTCTAGTTACATGAAATATTACGTCGACCTATTTCATTTCATTTCATCTTATCATTCATTTTATTTATTGATACACATACAACTTCTTGGCGAAAATATTCTTCCATCTTACTTTACTGTCCTCTCAGATTATCTCATCTTCAATAGAATTATAAACTCTCTTCTATATCTGTATGAATTGAATCGTAAAATTTAATTTTAATTATTCCAATAACAATATGAAATCTATTACAACAAAACTAACAAATAAATCAAACCGTTATTTTATTATTTTGAATCAAAAATACAAAAATTTTATTTTGTTTTAACAAATTACATCGAAACAGATATTTATCAATAAATCAAATTTCATTTAATTATTAACAAAAAATCTTTTCGAATATTTACATTTATTTAGTTTTCAACCAAAACAAGCAAAAATATTCTCACAAGAAATTTAATTATTCATTTTATCATCAACATCAACAAATTTAATTCAAATCAATTTCAAATTTTTGTATGCGATCATTCCAATAATCGACAACATAAAGATTACCTTGAACATCAAATGATAAACCTGTGGGACCATACATCTGAATTGGTTGTTTTCCTCGTCCATATCCACCAACAACAATACTACCTTCGCAAGATCCTTCACACCAACGCATTATTCGATGATTACCACAGTCAGCTACATAAACATCACCCAGATGATCCACAACCACTCCATGAGGATAAGACAATTGTCTCGAACTATTCCCTTCACCATTTCCACCAGCAACAACAATACCTTCATTTGCACCTTTCATCCATTTCATCACACGATGATTGCTTGTATCCGATATATAAACTGAATGATCTTCATCAACGAAGATATGAGTAGGAAGATGAAGCTGATTGAGTTGATTTCCTTGTTCATTTCCACCTGCAACTATTGCTCCTCTTTTCTCTCCTTGTTTCCATCGTCTCACTTGATTCTTCTTCCAATCAGAGACATAAATACTTCCATTGTTATCCATTGTTAGATCTCGACAATCAATATCAGGAACGATTGTTTGTCCATTTGTACCATTTTGACGAGACCATCGTACTAATCGTTTGTTTCCAAAATCACAAATAATAAGGGAATTATTCTTTTTGTCAACAATCACATCTGTTGGATAATTCAATTGATCACTTCGATCTCCTTTTTCATTCCCACCTGCAACAACTTGACCATTATCTGCTCCATATTTCCATTCAACAATACGATCATTCCCAAAATCAGCAATATAAATAGGTTGATAATCATCATCAACGTAGATACCTTCAGGACCATTGAGTTGATTTAATTGATCGCCTCGTCGATTACCTCCAGCAATAGTAACTCCTTGTTGTTTCCATTTGGTGTTGATATTAATATGATTGACAAGAATTGCTTGTTCTAAAAGAAAAAAGATTTGTTTAAATATTTGGATGAAATTGATAAATAAATGTGAATAAAAAAATGTTATTTTAAAATTTAATAAAATAAAAATGATTTGAATTTAATTCAATTTAGAATTTATTTAAGAAAATCTTTTTTGTATTTGTAGAATAAAAAGTGAAAAATATTTAAATTTGTTTTCATATTTGAAAATAAAATTTAATTAATTTCATCTAAATGAGTTTGTTTATATTTGAACGTGTGGGCATTAGGTAAATACAGTATCCACACCCACATCCTTTATTCATATAAGTGTCATGATTTAGAAAGATAAACGAAGAAACTAAATATAAATAGAGTTGATGTTAGTCAATATTGAATGTATCATCGATTTGATTTCAATTCTAAATACTTTTTTGTCATCTCAAATGACTAACTGATAAACACAAAACAAAATTTTTTTTAGGAAATTTTTATTTCTCTTAGCTAATTCTACTTTTTTAAATTTTTGAAGATTTTTTTCGGCGATAAAAAATTCATTTTTATATAGATCACTCGTTTGAAAATCAGAGATTTTCTTTTAATAAACTTACCGATGGAATTGTTTGTTTTTTTAATAGTTGGATTAACAGTTAATTGGTAATTATTTTTGATTGCGAGGAATTTTTGATGCCATTGAACACTCATATAATAGTCACCTTTCTTTGATGCCAATTCACTAAGATCTTCATATAAACTGATATGTAATGGATCATTCAATGGAAGTTCTTGTAATAAACGATTGAAATACTTTTCAGCCAAGTCCAATTTACCCATTTCCCATAACAATTTTCCTAATGTTCGAAGATTTGTTTCTTTACTTTTCAGTTGTAGCTTCCTATACATGAGAACTTGTCTTAAATCATTTTCATGATCATTACATAAAGTCATTCTAATGATCCATATTTCATCATCATTTCGATCAATATTATTCAGACGAAAAATAGAACCAGCCATAAAGAGAACTTCTAAATCATCTCGAAAATAACTGTGTTCACTAATATCAGCAAACGGTTTTGTACTGACCATTTTAAAATCAGCATCAATTTCAAATAACACTCGTTCTGAATCAATCTGTGTAGTTAGATCACTCAAATAGAAGAGAGCTGTTGTACGTTGTTTACTAGTGGAAAACATTGAATTTATAGAAATGAACTGGCCAATGTTTTGTTTAAGACTATTTAATTCATCGTTTGACATTAGCTGACTTCGATAAACTTGCAAAGGATGTTTTGATTGATATTTTTGCAATTGACAATACATATCATAAATAAATGATCGAAATAAAAATATCATATGAATATTTTGTGTCCGTAAAGCTGCATTAAGAGTTTTATAAAAGAATGTTTCTTTTGTATACCACCTTAACACTTCATCAGGTGAATACTCTTGTTGAAATTCATGAAGATTGTTAAGTTCAGTCTGATTTCCTGCATATTCATTTTCCCAAAGATTAACAAGTTCATTTCTGTCTATTTTAGTTGATTTCAGTCGTAGAAGACAGTCAACGAGAATTTGAGAAAAAATAAATTGTATATTAACTCCTGTTGTTAATATTGATTTTCCTGCATCAACATTTGTTGTGAAAGTATAAATTGACAATGGTTCTTCTATCTTTTTCTGAATGTTATGATCTACTGTAATTTTAGAGACAAGTTCATCAAGATCAACAACAACAGATTTTATCTGTAAAAAAAATAATAAAATGAAGTAACAATCTTTTAGCATAGGTTTACCTTGGCAAATTCTAGAACCCATTGTTCATTACTCTCATTATCCATACAACAAACATAGATTGATATAACTTGTCGAAGTTGATGAATGAGGGGTACTATTTCTTGTCCTAGTTGACCGCTAACAATAATTATTAATCGATCTTTTTGTGATGTTTGTTCAATATATTGTTGACATTGTTTTATGTCTTGAAATTTTTTGATATGATTAATAATAGAACGTAATTCTACTTCTGTATCTCGAGTGTCTTCGACGTCTTCATTTGCATCGAGCCAAATAAGAGAGAAGATTTCCAGAGACTTATCATCGGTGTTTTTGTAAAAGTCATTATTTGATAGAAGAGCAGTGGCCATGTTAATTCAAGAAACTAAAAATAGTATAGAGTTGTCAAATGCTATGTGCTTTATCTACACATAATTATCGAATAAATTGTGCGTTTTTTATAGTACAAAAAAGAAGGTGATATTTTCTCTATTATTGTTTCATTTCTTTATAGTATTTTATGTAAGCTTTTTCAAACTTTGATGTAAATCAAAAGAATAATATGTTATTATTAATTAAAGAAATAATTCCAAGGTGGTAACAGCTAATTAGGAATCCGTTAATCATTATTAAGAGGCGAGGTGGATGTAGCTGTGTGTGTAAATAAAAAGAATAATCACACCCACACCCTCAAGATTCTTTATAGAATGATGCTTTTAAAAGTAGTGTATTAATTCCAATACTCTTCTTACGTGAATATAATAAACGATAAAACATAAAACTTCTTCAAAGTAACAAAATATGATAGTTATCATTTGTCTTTTTTTTATCTATATTATTAAGGTAAAACTGGTTACAAATTTTGACGACTAATATAAACACTGATCAAGACAAATCAAATCCGTTCAGTTGGTTTTTCACTCATATAATGGTACCATGGTTATATCTATTCTCATCAAATCAATTACAATACATTAATGAATAGATTTAGGAAAAAAAGTAACAGACTAATACAGACGATGTGAGAGAATTAGAATTAATAATTCGACAAGTATAAAATAGACACAAGATAGTAGATCAATTGGATCTTTAACTAACAACTATTTATCAGTAAATAATACTGAGGAAAAGTCGGTCTTATATCTTTCTAATATTCTGATCATATCTGCACTAAATATATATGATATTTAAAATTATCCTAATAAACAACTTACCACAATTAAATAATCAAAATTAGAGAAATGAAGAAAACTTCAGTAACGTGTGTGGTTGTCGATTTTATTTCTTATTGTGTATGTAACACCGTTTGCTTCTTTCGCCGAATGATTCATTTCTGATCTTTCCAACATAACAAAATTTCACGTTTCTGTTTTTTTGAATATATTTCACCTACACACTTAAGTGAAAGTGACTGTACATTAAAAACAAACGAAAATATGCAGGGGAAAAAAACAGACGACAAGTGATTTTACAAACAAGAAAAAAACATTTTTTATATTTCTTTAAAAGAAATTCATTTAAAACTGACGAAAGATAAGGATGATAAACTTTACTTGTTATTTATCCGAATATTTGATTATTCTTGCACATCTTTTCTAGAACAGATCTTTATCAATAAAACGATTACTTTCACATGAAATAGATATTTTAGATATAATACATTTATTGTATTACTTAACGGAAAAAATATTTGTTAGTTATTCACTTAATTGATTTTTTTTCTTATGGAATAAATTACGAGTAAATATTTCGGTATACTCAAACGATTATTAATTCCATAGCTTCCTACACAATATACATTAATAATAAGGATAAAACCTATGCAAAAAAGGAATAAACAAAGTAATATTTTTATATGTATTAGAAAAATCTAATGTGTTTATTTTTCTTTCTATAAAAAATTTTATGAAACTAAAAATAAATATACTGAAAAAAACATCATTTTTCTTAATATTTTCTATATAAATATTCTGCTCATTTCAATTTATTTGTTTTTAATTAAATATTATTATCAATTCTCGATAATTATTTATCACAAAGTTGATCTACTAAAATAGGGTGTGGGTAAGATAAGTAATAGACACCTACACTCACTCCTTATAACGTATGAAACAGTTACATTTATCGATGACAATAAAACCTTACAAACAGTGTCTACTACAAGAAATATTTCAAAAATACTCTTCTTAACGATGTGATGTGTGATTGTGCAATTACATGTTATTGCACCATCGTCATGCAATTCCCGTGCTATACAAAACTATATAAACTGTTGTTTCATTTCACAAATATTATACAATTTATATTAAAAATATATTGTTTATTAGTATAGTCTGGGAATATTAAGCCATATCAACCTTTTAAAACCGTTCTTTTTAAGGTTCTACATATTATAATTCATTCATAATCAGATAATGGTAGCTGTTACTCGTGCTGCGTTAACTCGTCAACTGCAATCAACAAATACAACTCGTGCTGTTGTATCACGTGTTGTAAGAAAAAAGTCTACTAAACAAAAGAAAAGAATAGTTAAACAATGTACAAAAACATCTACCACTTCAGCACCATTGCAACCATATAATGACGTCGCAGGCAAAAGTAATATTACTAATGCTATTGGATATGATCGTTTTGGCAATGCAACAGGAAGAGAATATGATTTGGGTCGAGATGGGGCATTTATGGGATTTAATATTTTGATTGCACAATTCTATTGGGATTCTCAATTTAATGACACAGCAATACAAGTACCGATAGATGAGTTAAAGAAGAAAGGTTTCCAAGTGAAGCATATTAAAACGGAAGATGAATGTATAACAGAACTTGCTTCAAATCGTTATCAAATCACATGGATTATTAGTGGTATTAATCAAATTCAAAATCCAAAATTTATTTCATCTTTAACAGCTTTTCATTCAGCTGGTGGTGCTATTTTTTTATTTGCTGATAATACACCAGGCGTATATCATGCATCTGAATTTCTTAAAACAAAATTTGGTATTACTGTCGATGGAAATTATCATGGCGGACAAACAATGACATACAAAGAAGATGGTCATCTGGGAAAAGGAAATTTCGGTCAACATGAAATTTTTACTGGTATCACAAGTTTATTCGAGGGTATCACTATATCTCATCCAGTATATTCAACAAAAGCAAGTCGCGAGATATTCATTCCAATAGCAACTGCTAGTGATGGTAATACTAGTATTGCAACATATGATCCACCTTCGACATCAACAGAAGGACGATTATGTTTAGATTGTGGCTTTACAAAATTGTATGTAAACTGGGATTCAGCAGGCACAGCTCGGTACATTGTTAACGCCACTTGTTGGCTTTTAGGAATTGGAAAACATTAGAAATAGAACAAAAAGAGATAATAAAATATAAATATTTTTTTTTCATAAACATTTTTTTAAAAAAAAGAATTATCAAAGTTACTATCTTTGATGAAAAAAATACCTCAAATGTTTCTTAAGGTGTGGGTGTTAGAATATCTGCAATAGAACACACCCACACCCACACCCTTCTTGAATACGTAGCATAGAATATTTATATATTTTCTTGTCTTTCCAGTTAACTCGGTTAGAAAAAGAGAGATAGACGACATGGCACTTATAAAACTATGCTTTTGTTTTTGTAACCCAGTTATCAGAAACGCTAATATTGGCGACGAGAAGAAGTTCTATCGTTTAGTTTATGATAACTAAAAGTGTTTTCTGATTCTCATGTGCTTAATCTATGGCATTTAAAACAAGAAAAAGAACTGATGACATTCATTCCTTACTGACTCGGGTACGTATCTGTTTTATATAACAGAACAAAAATAAAACGTCATATCACGCGCATATCATCTCGTTCTATAAGTACAGAAAAGAAAAGTATATCGCATATCATATCAAGAATAATATTGTATTAACAATGGAAGAATCAATCTCAACAGAAGAAGCAAAACCAACGGTAACCAAAAGAAATAATACTTGTTCATGGCTTCAACGTATTGTTAATATTGATGATGTACCAAATCAAATACATTATTATGCTGGATTTATCATTGGTACAAGTGCTTTACAGATATTTATTCATCTCTTAACATATATCAACATTTTTTGGAATGGTCGACCTTTTCGGTTTACTTTATCTTATCTTTTTATATTTTTTGTTCCATGTATGCGACCAACCAGTGATGTTAGTTGTGGTTCATTGATAAAAAATACAACATGCGATTATGATGATAGACTCAAACATATATGTTTCTCTTTCATGTATCCACATCAACTATGGAGATTTTTTTCTGGTGCCCTATTTCATATGGTTTGGTATCATCTACTAACCAATATTTCTAAACAACTTCTTTATGGAATTCTACTAGAACGTAAATATGGTTCAGTTCGTGTGGCTATTTTATATTGGCTTTCAAATCTCAGTGCTAGTTTAAGTTTCATGCTAAAAAATGGAAATAGAGGTATGTAAATTAGAACTTCTCTGTGTGTTTTTAATAAGTTTATTTTTCTCTTTAGCTGGTATGGGCGCTTCTGGTTCTATTTATGGTCTAATGATATTCTTCGTTATGGATCGACTTGTTGCTTTACAAGAAAAGACCGAACGTCGTTTGTTCATACTTTTGCAAATATTCTTACTGGTGATACTTCCAAATGCCCCAACTATGATTATAATAAGTATTTTGAAGTTTCCAGTCGGGCATTCAGCTCATTTTGGTGGTGGTTTAGTAGGTTTTTTACTCGGTGTTGGTATATTAGGTTGTCCTTTGCCTTGGATTAATCGCCAGTGTCGCTATGGAATAATTTATAAATACATAGCATTTTCTTTACTCTTTATTTATTTTCTTACAACTTTAACTATCTTTTTCGTAAATGACGCTCCTAATGTCTCCTACATTTTAATCTAGAAGCCCGTTGAAATAATGTATATTCATCCTTTCTATTCTTTAAAAATTTGATTGTAAATATTTTTACTACTAATTCTATGTGAACAGTGTGAGGGTGTGGGTGTGAGTAAAATATTAACCTCACACCAACACCCACATCCACTGCCATCTATCGGTAAATGATAAATATATTATCGTAGAACAATTAAGCTTATACACAACAATTAATTAAAATAAATTAAGAAATTTTTTTACTATAATTGTTTTAATACAAAAAAAACGTGTGTAACAAAAATTCATATTTTCATTTGCTTGGTACTTAACGAATCACGATGCGATTAAAACCCCTAGATAATCATATAGAATAAAAAGAGAATGGAACTATTGTTTTTTTGATACTATCAATTTTTCGATTCACACCGAATATTTATCCATTATCGATAGTACATGATGTCGACAAAACCATTATATTCATTCCGT